GGAAGGTTAAACATGAGCACCATGTCACTGTTCACTTGTTGAAGCGAATTCCAGTATGGGGAGGTCATTAGCAGGTCTTGTCGAAGGGTACCACTTTGGCGAAGGGTCTCGTAACTTTCGCCGGATCTGTCTTCATATTCGTGATTAATGGCGTCGCGAACGATGCCCAGCAGAACCGATGGGTCTAGAATGATACGGTTCCTAAGGTTCTTGTTCGTACGGTTCCTAAGTTTCTCGCTGTCTGCTTCTTCTCCATATCACATCACTTCTCCCAGTGGTTGCAGTGTGCGTAAAACGAGAGTTTCCTTCGTTTTTACACCCGTTCGAATCAATTCCAAATCGAAATTCTTCCTCAAAGAACTTTTGTCTGACCCACGATCGTGTTCTCTGATGAATGTCGATAAACAGTTCGTCAAGTCAATCTCTACATCCTCCACTTGCGATTCAGCAACGAGATCATATTTTGGCCCACAAACTTGAAGTAGGCATCCGCCTGACGAGCAACAATCCGGCGGATCCATCGGAGCACGGTATGTTCGAAGAAGCTCTCAATTACATTTTCGCTTTCCCACTGCCCGCGTTGCGCCATTGATTCTTGTACCATCACATATATCTGCAGATCTATGCACATCAAGTACACAGTTCGCTTGGAGAAAAACATGGCATGTGTGATCTGATAGATATCCTGCCCCTAGAAGTCCCAAAAAGTGACATCGTAACGTGATTTTCCATCAAGAATGTGACCATTGTCTTCTGTCTCCGTTGAGGCTTTCTCATGTGGTGGGAATGTCATTGAAAACAAATCAATGCCGATGGTTCGGTCCTCTTGGTCCACTAACGAGGGGACTACCTGCGACAGTGCCTTGACAAGTGTAGCTTTCCCCATGTACTAGGCCCAACGCCACTGATCTTGCATCGCTTTACTAGTTGACCATCGGCGGTCTCATTCATCGCATTTAAGTACGTGTCGACTGTCGCGCCTCCACCTTTGATCACTTCTGACGGGACGAGCATCAAAGGTTTTCCTTCGAGGAAGCATTTGTGCCAGTATTCTGTAGTCACCAGTAGCCCCAGCTGGATTTTCGTTAGTGATGAACGTTGGGACGATGTTTGTACCTTGGCCTCATATCCTTGTGAGCACAGTAAATGAGCGATGGCATCATCCTCATCATCATATGTCTGGGCGTTCTGTGACTAAGTACCCCCAGGGTGTTGGTGCCATCCTTCATATAAGATAGTGATTTATTTAGATGACTGCATGTAGTAGAGACTGTTTCTAGGCCACTTTCGGTGTCGTGAGTGTCGATCCTGGTCTCGTGCTTCAACATCATTATAGTTGTTGCTAAATATACAGCCAAGTGAAGCGGCGTTTGGAGATTCTGTAACAAAAAAGACATAAGCTGTCTCGACTAAGTCTTGGGCAATGGAAGGAAATACAATAACGCACCTGGTCCACCGCCGTCACACTTGCGCCTTTATCCAATAGTGCCTTAGTGATCGGGATATTCTTGAGAAGTGTCGCCAAGTGGAGTGCTGTCTTGCCGTCCTGCAGTCCATAGTGTCAAATGTTTGGTAAGCACTCAAAACCATTGCACTATAATATAAAATAACGTGCCCCATGCCTTGTTCGCAGCTTCTATCTCGACACCTTGTCTAGCAACAGGTGAATTGTCTTGGGTTTGGCTGTACGGCTAATTGCGATGTGTAGAGCCGTATTGCCATCCTGTGTTACCAGAATGGTAACAATAATTTAATCAAGTCTTGCACAGTGACAGGGAATATATAATGTACCAACGCACATTATCACCGCCGTCACGTTTGCGCCTATATCCAATAGCGCCTTGGTGACCGGGATGTTCTCGACAAGCACCGCTTTGTGAAGTGCTGTCTTGCCATCCTGCAGTCAATAGTGTCAAATGTCTGTTAAACTCTCAAAGCTACTACATTGTAAAATATAAAATAAAGTGCTCCATACATTTTTCGCAGCGTCTATCCCGGCACCCTCGTCTAAGGGACACCTGTCCTAAGCGCAGTTTATTCCTAACTAAATTGTAAATATAACCAATCAGAGCACTCTATTCAATACAGATGGACAAAAATAAAATACCCCGCATCTCGGAGCTAATTATAGGCTGTGCTGCTGGTATAGACTGCTCAAATGCGGCTATTCCTGAAAAAAGAACGCAATGGGCAGACCTCGTACAACAGGAACCGGCAAAAAGCCGAAGCGCTACGCTCGGATAGCTGTTGATTACCCACACAAGCTATTAAACTATCTGACCGCTGGGCACTCTGTAGGCGAAGCCATCTCTTGCTTCTACCCCGACTGCAGAAGTAGCGATAAGAGGCGCAAACAAAAGCAAATTTCTAAGTGGAAAAAGCAGGAAGCACTAATTAAATCAGCAAGGGGCATCTCAAACAATCTACGGTATAGTGGCCAAGCGAAAACTCTTTCGACTGAAGCTGAAGAGACTATTGTCCTGTGGATTAATTCGATGCGCAAAAAGAGCTGACCAGTACATCTCAAATGTTGAGGTTCAAAGCCCTCGAAGTGGCCGCTGACGAAGGGCTCGCGCGTGGCATCTTGAAGGCATCTAACTCCTGGAGGCGCCGGCTCATGATGAGATACAGGCTGTCAATTAGGGCTCGCACGCGTCAGGAACAAACAACACCAGAGGACACGGAAGCTGCTAAGGCAAGGTTCTGTGAAAAAGTGCTGGCTGCTATAGTGAAACACGGGATCAACAATGTGTACAACGCTGATCAAACAGGTAAGGTAACTAGCATGCATTATGTGGGAATGATATTATCACATCCTAGAGCCTTTCGAAGGAAAAATACATGCCGACAAGGCAGCAGCCGAGAGCTCATGACTAGACACGAGCATGACCAGTCGCGCATCGTGATGGAGTATTCGCTCTTGGGTTCATCGAGCGCGTCTTCGTCGTCACAGTCGTGCTGTACCAAATACACGTTGGGGACCGGCTCGTAGTAGTTGTACTTGCCCTTTGTAGGCGCATACACGTACTGCTCATAGATGAGCTCACACGCATGTTCGCTCACTAGATTAGATACAAACTGCATCTCAGAAGCATACTTGAGTTGTGAACCCCACTCAACTTGTATAAGTCATCCGTGAATTTGATCTCTTGTTGAGTCTGGTACCACATAATCGAAGCAATACACTCGTCTACACCATAAACGAATCCATGAGGTCTTTTATCTGCTTCCAGGATGCTTCGAGTCTGTTGTTTGTGTTGTTCCCCATAGTGAAACAAAACTGCCGCTCGAATGAGCACCACATCGGTCTCCACGAATCCCAATTCTTGACGAAGTAAGCCTCATAAGGATGCTTCGGCCGGTCATCATCTCTGTCATCAGAGTCTGCTTACACCCGCTCACTAACCACACCCAACCCAGCACGTGTACCTAACTCACTTTAATCTGTGCCCAACTCGTCACTATCAGCCCCCAATTGCCGTATGTTGGATTCGAATCCAGAAGAACGAGATACAGCACCGCGTCCAACGCTCATGATATGGCGCATGTACTTACTATACTTCTCAAACTCGTGCTCAGTCCACGCGTACACCAATAGACTCACGATCCCATGCAGATGTTGTTTCTGCCACGAGATGAAACCGTATTCGGCGCTTGATATCTTTTCCTGCAAATATTTAATGACATGAAACTGGCTCAGAAGTACCATAGCATCCGGAAGCGCGACCTTGAGCACGGATGTCTCAGTAAAATACTTGTCAATCAGAATGCACTTGATCCGTGTCCAGGCGGGGTTATTCTTCTTGACTCCTTCAACGCTGTTAAAAGGGTAGAGCGACGCTCATTTTGGACAAGGGCATGTTGTACAAATTGACCTTTTCCAAATACGTCATGGGCCATTATCGAGAACACCTTGTATTTGGATGCAATCGTCCCGTGCGTGGCATCGATCATTAATACATCAGGGAACATATTAAACAACTCACGCATGTGTTTGGTCTGCAACGTGATACAAGTGGCGACCGTCTAAAAGATATGACAAAGTTAGAAGGGTTAGAAGAAGATTATGTTTAGACAGCGAGCTAATGAGCCCTTTCATACCTTATCATGCACCGAATCTACGAAGATGAGACCAACGTTTCCAGGCTCCTCGGAGAATTCGATCATCCACTTCTTTAGTCGTTTCGCACTCGTGGTGGAAGTATTCTCGCGCTTCCTTAACGTTCGCACTAGGTTGTGTACATCTTGATTGGTGGGGTTACAGGCAGAGTTCTCGTGGATGTACTTGAGTATGTTCTTTTTGACACCTGCCCTCCGAAGCTCATTCACAGTGTAAACCACGTCCGGTTCCAAAGCGATTCGGTTGTGCGGGTACTGGTTGAGCTTGTGCTTGTTGATGTGATGATTGTGCACCAATCGAGCTGTAGTAATCCCCAATACAAACGTAGGAGCGGATCCACCCTTCACTTGTACACACGCGTTGATCTGAAAGAGTAACAAACACAACACGTGCCCAGTCAGTCCAAACAGAACATACCGACACCCAACTTGCCCAACTGGGGAGCTGTGTACCCAACTGAGGTTCTGTGTGCCCAGCAGCGACCAAAAGCACCCAACTCAATACATGTGCCCCACACTCCATTGCCCTCGACTGCAGCCGCTTCCTCTTCTCTTTCCCCCGCGGCTTGCACCTCCCCGAATGTGTGCGGACAAACGTTTTGCTGCAGTTCTCCCACTCGTCCGGCAGCAGAGGCTGTTTAGATCCCGACGATTAAATCTTGTTATTTCGTGAAGAAACGGAGTTGTTGGTACGAACGCGGAAACTCTGTACAACCAGCAGCAGTACATATGAAATCTGTTTAACCTCTCTGAATTTCGACAGTATCGTCAACATACCTGGTACGTTTCCTTCATAAATTCGGCCAGGTATGCATCCAAATCGTCCCAGGACTTGAACTCGTAGCGGTCAAGACGTGGAGCAGGTACTTCAAGCTACTGGCTGTCTTGTTCGCCGCCCTGAACACTCCGAGGATGGTGGGCGCCCTTGCTTGGACTTCTACGTCCCGCTGCTTGTGGTGCTCGACACCTCTTTCGAAGAGTCCACCCATTCGCTGGAGACGGCTGAAGCACTGTACTCCAAGGCTCCTCCCCGCTCCCCCGTTGCTGCTCTCGTACTGGCGCGCAGCCTCACTAGCGCCTTAATGCGTAGATTGTGGGGCATTTTCTCGCCTCCCCCTTCCCCGGCGATCTTTTTAAATGAGTGGTATTTGAGCGGGTATACACCGGGGTATACTATACTCCGGACGGATAGCGAGAGAGCCAATAGGAAAAATCAGGTCCAACGTAATCCTATCCAGTTAGAGACCTGCCTCGCTACGGACTTCCAGTAAATTCTCTCTCGTCCTTCCTGCTGCTACCTCACGACACCACGCCAACTTCTGCCAATACGTACCGGAAAGCGTCCTCCCAGCTAAAGTCGTCCTCCAGTAGGTAGTTGGAGTCATACTGTGCCCTCTCACCGTTAAAGCTGTTGTTCTGCGTACGTGCAGCTAACCCGAGTCGTTGTAGCTGCCGTGCGCGCGAGTGTAGTAGCGACATCCTTGCCCGGGAAGATCCACTCTGGACGGTAGCACTTTATACAGGCTCTCGCGCGTACGTCGTGTTACTACGTGGGCTTCAAACCCGTGGAGGAAAGGCACGCACTTGTCCGGGTCTATCTAGGAGAGGAGGCGGTGAGCTCGTGGCGCTGGGGTCGATGGGGATCTCTCCGTCTGACCGAATGTCGTGCTCGATCACCAGGTCGTTCCCAGTTTCTTCGTTACGACTTGTAATTTACGTGGTAGCTGCCACTTAAGCATCTCGCAAAATTAAAATTGATGCTTGCAGACTGCGAATAGAAAAGGAGGCCACAGAAATGTGGCTTTGTGCTATCTTGGTCCCTGTCCTTGTCTAAACGCAGGACTGGACTGAGAATTGTTAGATGCAGAAATCTTTCAATTTTTTTACACATCAATCGTTCACCAGATATAGCATCTGTTGATTATGGGACGGCGGTGTCCCCCCCACACACACACAAAATAGATTGTCCGCTGTCTCAAGTCGCCTTCATGCGGTCGAGTTTTGATTTAAATCTATTCAATCTCGGTGAGCTCTGCTTCTTTAAAGCGCCGTGATGAACGTGGTTGGATGCTCAGAACTCTGTATAGAATTTCCCGACAGGGTAGATCTCCTCGATGCACTAGCGGATATTGATACCGAACAGCAGAGCGGGCAGCATTGCGGAAGTGGCGACGAGGACATACTGTCGAACCTACTGCGCGAATCTGACGATATTGATGTGGAACGAGATTGCATCAATAGTACAGACCTGTCCTCGTCCTTGGACGAAGCAGCTCCATTTACGTGTACCTCCTTCGACATCCAGTCGCTCCGGCCATGCATGGTCAAGATGGAGGCAGTCAAAAATTTATCGAGCGATCGGAGCGCAAAGAGGCGAGCACAGCTTGCAAATAGTCCCGTCGCCTACGTCATCGAAAGAAGGTATCGTATTCGGGTTATAATAAGCTTGCGAGCGTGTTAACCCCACTTCTCTACGTCATGCTATAGATCGAGATAGCGAACCTGAAATCGGAGGAAGTTTCTTTGAGCGAATAGCTTGAGGTTTTAATCTCCAAAGGCCAAACCTGGCTTTCCACCCGTTACTATTCACGCTGGAAAGAAGCAGCCGAGATAGAACACAGCAAGCGAGAGCTAGTCGAACAAGAGAATCGACAACTGCGTCAAGCTCTATACCAGCAGAACTGCTACATGAGGAGTTTCAACGCAGTGCTTATCCCCGCTATGAGGTTTCATACCGACTTAAACATGAGCAAATTTCTGCACACGGCAACTCACCTCCCCACAGACTCTCAATCTCGTCTGCGGTACTTGGAGAGTGTCTGTACGGAAGCAAAGCTTGATATCGCTACCCAAATTCTCTTGTCAGAGACAGAGTCAACTCGCCTGTTCACTGTGCCAAGTTTCTCGTGGGAGCCGCTAGATGTCGGGCCGTCGGGATTCGGCGTGACTTCCATAGCTGTCTTCGCGATAGACTCTTCTAATGCTTGCGAGACGTTTCAAGCAGCTCGCACGGCTATCGGTAACTGCGCGGTTGTATGGCCAAACTACTCGCTCTTGGATTCTTCCGTGAATCAAATGGACATGCAATCAGTAAAGTTCAATATTCACTACGGTGTCACTGAACATCGCTTCCAGAGCGGCATGTCGGAGGAGCAAGTGGTTCTCGAGAGTAGAGATCTGTCCTACTTTCGAGTGGGTGGTGAGGGTAGCGTGTTTCTGTGGGATTTTGTGGACGAAGACAACCAGTTCCCAGTGAAGAAGACGACAGCAGTCAAGCGCAGCACCGTTGTGGCGTAAGGCTTAACCATTTGCTTTCAGGCTATTCCGAATGTTATAACTAACATGTTCATGTTTTTTAGGCTGCTCGTACGTCCTGAGCGCTGTGACGATGGCGTGGAGCGTGTGGTGTGTCGCTACATTTGCTCTAAAATCCACATGATCGACGCGTTGGAGCTCCCACCAGGTATTGAGCGCTTCTCGAAATCGAAGCAGTTGGGTGCGCAGGTGGCAGACTCTATGGTGTACGAGACTATTAAGGGTGACGTAGCCCGCAACTCAGTTTGATCCGAGCCGGGTTTACAGGCCATCAGGACTAGATGTCGATATGGCATTTGCTCATCGAAGTGTACCTACGGGAGTCAATAGGCACAACAGAACATTCTCCACTCGAGACAACCTGATAATAAACTACAACAATATGATGCGGATTCTTCTCGACTTTAGCCTTCTAGTTGATATCTTTCGTCTTGATCCCAAAGCCACTTAATTGTAGAGGTTTGTTAACGGGGCGCTTCTTCTGCAAAGAATTAAAGATTCTCTCGGAAACCGCTGCCAACTCGTCAAGTCGCGATATATACCCTCCCTTCTGCTCTGTTATGTTGGTTTGCCTTATTATCGCCTTGTTCCCCGTGTTCTGTCTAAATTGAAACCGGTGCATGGAGATACTATACAAGTACAACATACTGTCCAGGATTCCGTCATAACTGAAAGAAAATAACAAAAGAAAAGTTTCTCAGTGTCAACGTGCAATTGTCTGAAGTACATGTGGTATTACTAAG